GTTCAAAATATCGTACACAAAATTGACATAAAACAAAAAATACTTATCCCGTGTGAGGATTGAGTCTATGACCCTTGGCGTCGTAGCTAAAACGCCAAACAAGTCGTGAACATTTATAGGTTATAAACGTTAATTAATGAAATGCCTAATTACTTTTATATCATAAAGAAAGCGGGGTATTTGAGAACGCGGTAACGGTAAAAATACGGATTTAGATAATTTATTATGAGACTTTAGACGTAATATACAAAGTAAGTCTCCTTTCGTAATCGGTTTAGCGAGACTGTAATAATCTGGATACGGCCCGGGCGTTCGCATGCTCAGAGCCGTTGCCTGATTAGTTCCGGTTCTATTTGAACATCGTCAGACGTCGTGCGAAAAGTCCGTACAAGGCAATTTGGCACGAAACACTCGACAATAGGGAATATTATGCCGTGGGCCGCACCCGAATGGAATCCTACACTTGTAGGCATTTAAGGTTGGGTTGTAATGGAAGGTTCAATAAAGCTTCTTTGACAGGAATTTGCATGAGCAGATTCGGTTAATACAATTATAAACGCTACGCTCTGCTAGCGTGTCGCTGGATTCAATTGATATAGAGGACAGCGATATTCATGTCAATATATAATTCGATGTGAATACATTTGCTTGAAAATTTGTAAACTGAAAGTTATATATAATTTTAACAGAAAAATATCATATTACATATTTGATCATACTTCTTTCTTATGTCGCATAATGTTGTAGCTTTTAGTGAGCCTGTGTGTTGTTTTTGGGATATCGGCAATATGCCGAACATATTCTTAAAAAAAAAAATCTTAGACTCCCATAAAGCTTTTAGTGTTTAATTTTTCTAATGTTTTTTCGGAATGTAATTAACAAAATCTGTGCACGTTATTAATTATAGCTAAATTGTATAACTTAGGATTATTTTTCTTAATAATTTTGTTAGGGTCTGTCTTGATAAAATTTTACAAAAGTCAAGAAATACAAAAATTTCAATTATAAATTGAGAACATTACAGAAATGCAAAATAATTAGATTACTTTTGGACCAGCGTTACGTCGCGATCGTTCGAATGCTGCCCTTAATAAGCCGTGTGCATGTAACCATTATGGAGATTAAAACTTTTTCAATATAAGTTTGGTACGCATTCGCCATCGGGCCCGAATAACGTTAGAGTACCTACGTTCCTTTGTCATAATTCATGAGTTTGTGATGTGGGTCCCTTATGTGACCTGGCACTTACATCTTATATAAGTATATTCATCTGAATACATCAATGTGTTCATGCTCTTTCATTACATGTGACGCGAAGTTTCTAACTCCTAGTTACAATATGTTCCGTATTGTAGAGTTGGACAAGTTTGAAGTATACTTTAAAGTAGCAGCATACATCTGTCCCACTACTGGCCAAAGCCTTCTCTGTATAGAGGGTATTAGAGCATAATCAACCACGCGAACCCGATGCGGATTGGCAGACCACATATTATCGTAATATTTATTTTTATTAACTTTACTACATTTTAAATAGACCAGACAGAACTGTTTAAAATAAATTTGCTTCAATAAATATATAAACACATCTATGGATCAAGAATGACGATGAAGCCCACTGGTTGGCTAGACAGATACTAAAATATCTTCAGGCCTGTCTGAGTGACCTGCGTCGGAATAAGTTATAATTGCTTTTCTACTTCAAAAACATTTATTTGACTTGATTAATTAATCTGTTTAAATACTATGTAAATTTCTAAAGCATGAATATTTCGTCTTACGTTTACTCCGTGCTTTGTCGTTTGTTGAGCCAAGTCAATCTACGACGAAGTAATTATTATATAGCACTTTTAATACTAGTCAGTTTGTTAGTAAAGCAGTTACCCTAGCCGTGACTACTAAATTCCTTAATCGATCTTTATTAGCATATATAATTGGATTGTTAAAACAAAACGCGCACCCATTATTGTGATCGTTGGCTGTTTGTTTTTAATTAACCCCGCCGTCCCGTGTAAATGATTGCGATGAGCTAATTTGAACGTTCAATTTTTTACGACTCCGTGCATTTACAAAGAGCGTTGTCGAATAGTTTTGAAAATGGTATTTTTTATGATTTTCATTTAAAAAAAATATTCTTCTTTTGTTACTATAATATATCCATGACAGCTCAGTGTCCGGGCGATCGCTTTCAATTCAATATATCTGGAGCAACCTGTGTTCAAATCTTGGTGTTAATTTATGTGCTGATATATCAGGTGTAGAGGAAAACATCTTAAGGGAACCTGAAGATTTTCGGAATTATAACAAAAAATATATTTCGAAGTTATGTGAAGTCCGCCAATTCTCAGTGGGGCCTCGTGGTTAACTATGCCCTAATACCCTTTGTCCCGAGGAGACCTTTCCAACCTGGGACATTTATAGGCTGTAAATTTACTTTACTTTTTTGTTACCATTAATAAAGGTTTAATTTTTGCATTAATAGTTTATATAACGCATGAACATAACCATTATAATGAAGAAAATATATTCATCGTTAATGTTTAATGAAGGGAGAGCATGGATTTGCAAGCCGTTTGAAATAAAATTACATACGAGACATACGATACTTAATAATGGCCGCCATTTTGTCTGGAGGATAAAAAGCGCTAACCCTGAGAATAGCGACGAGGCCCTGAGAAACTCGATCCGCAATCACAACTAATTTAACTCAATCAATGGAAGACGGCCCTCTATAATGCGATTACATTTCATTAAACCGCTTCTCCGTTTTCCCCGTTAAAATGGCAATGAAAGAACTCGAATTAAATTATAAAACTTAAACAGTTTATTGGTAATAGATTTGGTGAATATAAACGTATTCGTCCGTCTCGAAATAGAAATAGGAACAAATCTTAGTCAGGGATAATTATAAACACATAATAGTCTTCCCTTCGAAGATATTGCACCCTTACTGTAGGATAACGTTATCCTTTGCCGTAAGTATGTGTTACACGCATAAATTTCACGCGGACAAACACACAGATCCGAAACAATTATCCGTGGTTCACATAAATAATTGTCTCACGTGGGAATCGAACCCGCGAACCCTGGCGCCGGAGCCGAAAATTGACAACTGCGCTACGGAGAAAGAAAACAGTGATGCATCAACGCGTACAGGAAGCATATGTTCAGGGATTATCATCAGCTATCAAGTTCAAATATAACGAAACGTCTTAATTATTCAATAATTCATTAAATAAATCCGTTGCTAAATGCTGAAACCACTTCGTTGAAGTGCAGTCTGGGGTGTCCTGAATGAATGAATGATTGAATGAATATATATTTACTTTCAACAACACCGTTGTGTTAACAGTTAAAAGAATATATATAACTAAGTAAGAAACCAAATACTACGATAGTTTTCGTGTTATATTATATACATGACGTTACCGTGACAATAAATGAATAAACACTTCTAACGCTGCTTGCCAATAATCATAAAAAATATAAACGTTAAAAAATCCATTTAAAAAAAACTAATTAAATAAAACAGAAACAAAATTTGTAACATTCTGTTCAACTTCAACTGACTGATTCATACATTTAGAGACTTCTTCATTCGTAGCCACAAAGTCGCACATTACAAGTCTTTTCTACCAATATTTTTTTCTCTTTTAAATTCATTCAACCAATTCATATGCTTTGTGATCTTTACAAATGAACGTTACGTTACAGTTTTATATTAAAATTATTTGTTTTGGCAAATTTAATTATTCTAACGTAACTATCGATGATTAAAGAAATCAAATTTTTAATACAATTTTTAAAAGTTATCCTCTATGTGTGTACTGATTTATGGTCGCGTTAGTACCGCCACGTTGTATATTAATTTTTATTATTAAAACTCGCAGAACGGGAGGGATTTATTTTAAAATCTGCGGCTTTAACGAACCGAGCTCTTGTCACGCGCGATTGGCACTGCACGCACAGCTGTCGCCGGCTCTCTCGCTGCAAACAGGCGTCGCAATTGTTTCGCAACAATAAAATTAACTTTTGTTTCCGCTAAACGCTAGCAATACGTTGCCATCCGTATAAGCCTGAAACTTGTCGGTATGTTCGATGGAGATGGTATTGTATTCTCGTAAGTCTTTTTTGAGAAAATACTTTTTTAAAATGAAAAAAAAAAGAGACGAAATATAAGTGTTAGGGATGCCAAAGCGTTGTCAAACAGCTCAGGTTGCCCCATGAGAATTTTTTTAAGAAACTGGACAGAACTTTGCCTATACGAAGCGGTGATGGCTATTCTTTGTCGGGAATATAAATTGCAATAAAACGAGATAAAATCTTAGCTCTGTCTTAGGCTTCGTTTAAAACTTTTTAGGTATATCGAATAATACTTGATAAAACGAATATTTAATTGCTCATTCTTCTTGGTCAATCCTTTAAGTTATGTGATGTGTATTCAAATCAATGAAATAAATAACATCTAAATAAACTAAACGAAGTTTGATAACTATTCGACTATAAATTACGATCGCATTTCTGCGCTTAGCTCGTTCTATTGAATGTGAATTAGCCAAATGCAACGTGTAGATAAACTATCGGTCCATTAGGCATTAGTTGAGTTTATCTCGCGTCAGCGGTAGAAGACTAAAAACCGATCGACGTGTGTAAACACGCGAAACTTGACGGTCGACTACGGCATGGAACTTGCTTTTGCCCGTGACCCCGCTCGCGCGGATCTCGGTATCCGATTTGTAGGTTTCGATTATACCCTGATTGTGTTCAATTTTCTCCATTTATCAGTTTGGGTGGAATTTTAAATATCCTTCCCCGGTGGGATGCCTCCGTACAAAGAGTACTCCTAGCCGGTGGCTTTGAATAGTTTGTCATCCTGTTGTCTGTTGTACCACGGTGTGGACCGCTTGTTTTCCTTTCATTTCCTCCCATTATCCTTTTCTATGCACCTGTTCGGGCGATCATCGATTGAGTCAGATCAGACATCACCTCTATATAGATGCTTAGCGTACGCTCGCACGGAACCCGTCCGTCTGCGTGCTCTCGTGTTGTTCCTTTAATCCGCGTGCCTTTCGCCTCGCTCCGGCGGGCTTTTTGCGCGGCGTTCGATCTCCGAAAGGAGGCCGCCTCGCTCCGTTGCAGTTCGGCCGCGCGAAAATAAAAACACGCCGGAGGCCGCCCCTGTATTGTTTAAGACTATACGCGGCCGCTCCAATCCCCGTCCGCAAATATTTGAGGGCTGACGCAAGCACGGAGCGCCTCGCAACGAATCCGAACCGACACATATTTATTACTAGCTTCAGCGGCGACGATTTCATATCGACTAGTGAACGAATTGTGCTGTCCTTTCGGTTGAAATAAAATGAAGCTCGAAACGGCATGTCGCAAGATTGCTGTTGCTTTAGACTTGAGATTTTATCATATTGACTCGCCTGATCATAATTTTGTTATATGATAAACCTGTGTTGAACGCGGCAAATTGAAATAAAGGTTCACAAAACATTTGCATTGAAATGTGTAGATAAATATTTGAAATTATTATCTAAACCGTCATTTGAATTTTTCATTCGTTACAGTTTGTTTAACAACGGAACTGGACATATCATCTTAAAGAAATAGCGATTTTAATGGGTGGCGTAAAGTTTAAATCACCAAAATCTGTTCATACTGAGCTTCCTGAGTATTCAGTTGTACAATGTGTTGTTTATACTACACTATAACACGTTGCTACAAACTTCAAACGTATCGCCGGTACAAATTCGATTTAAAGCGCGAAAAAATTTGCAATTAAACAGACGAATTCCCCTTTAAAGAGTAACAAAGTTCGCGGCCTATGTGGAATGCGCGTCGCGAAGTCGGCAGCCATGAAATTTATCGCTACATTGTCAATACTCGCGCAGCGCGGAGCCAATAAAGCGCGGGTCGGCGGGAAAGTTGAAACGCCGCGGCCGCTAATTATACAGCGATGGGGAATGTAAACGCTAAGTTGTATCGGAGTTTTCTGCGCGTGTGCGAATGTTCTAGAAATAATTCGACGCGGGGCAACAGCGCAGAGGGTGCGCGTCGCGTGCACCGCCGATACCGATTTAGATTCATAGCCCGGTGTTTCGCAAACCGCCATACCATCTGTTGTGTATATTCCGTATACTATCTTTTATATTTACTTATTTGTTTATTCTTTCATGTTTAATAAGGTTACTAAGTTTTAGGGAAGTCTTACAAATTCGTTGCACATCGTCACATCGTTCTCTGCAGCGTTTTTTTACCTAGTTTGTTTTTTTTTATGTTAGAAGGTGATAAGCGAGCTGGTGGTACGCCTGATAACCACCGCCTGTGGACATTTGCAAAAACCGTTTGCAGATGCGTTGCTAACTTTTGATAAAGTGGGCCGCGGTTACCTCACTCGCCAGACGAAACGCAGAAGTGTATCATAGTACTTCCCCGGACGGACTAGCCCATTCGTGCAACAGTGAAGACTGTTGCGTGGCAGTGTAAACGTTCTTGCATCATTCAAGACATACATAACTCCGTTTCTACTCAATAACGTCAAAACTAAGAGGCAACGACCCACCAAATCAAAACTCCTCGAAGTATCCTCATAAAAGCTCCTCGGCTGTGAATATTGTTTTATTTTCGCTCGAGGTAATTAATCGTGCTTGCGGTAACCGGGTCGGTTTTGATAGCGCTGCGGAAACCGAAAAAAAGGAAGATGAATATATTAAGCCGCTTAAACGCGGATATTAACGCTCGAGGTCTAATTAAGTTGCTTTGCGGTGGCAGCAAAAAGAGCCGTGAGAATAAGGAAGGTGGCGCGGTGGGGGCCCGTCAAACTCACACCGCGCAAGCGGACCTCAGGGGTCCGTATATGGAATACTGGTGTTCTGATTTATCTGAAAATCCTGTTCGGTGAATTGAAAACGTATCACCGTGCCATTAGGTCCAATTTTGCGCAGCGTTCGTCGGATGACTGTAATTTGTATGTTACTTGTGACTTCAAGCGCAAGTGATTGAAATTTGGGTGCTGGTCTCGCCCGTCGTGATGTAATTTTATAAGCGCTTTTGTGGTAGTATGAGTTTTGTGTGTACAATTAGATTATCGGTACACAAACCCAAAAGATAAAAAAGGGCGATGGCATATTAAGCAGCACTTATAAATTGATGTCAAATCATAAGTGCTGATTTAACATACCATCGCCATTTTTATCAAGTAGTATAATGTCAATACCTGACGACTATCAAATCAGACGACAAGTAGTATTATGGCTATGTTCGGTATAAAACGATAAAAAAATTTCACAACTAGCTTCGAATAGCTTTATGTTTGCTGTGCTTTCATAGCATATAAAATTATGTTTACCGAGTATTCAATATAAAACACTAGCATAGTTCAGGCATTTAGATTTTAATTTTGTCGAAATACCTTTAATATCCATATTAACAACGGTCTGTTAATGTTGGTGATGAGAAAATGTTTATGAAAATGCTGTATAAAGCATTCGCAAGTACGGTCGATATGTAAAAGCAAAACTCATGAGGGTTAGATTGTTTCAGTGTCGAACGTGCATAAATAATGCCGTAGCTCCGTAGCTCGTAGGCGAGGCCATCTATCGATCTACGAGCCTCCCCCCCCCCCCCCTAAGTGAAATGGTCATGTGAAATCTCGCCTCTAAATGTCTGCTCTGTGTTGTATCACGTTATGTCTAGTAAAATTAACATCGCAGAGAGATATTGACATAAATTTACTTTCGTGATAATAATTTTTTTTCAGCCAAATAAAAGTTATGATCATTTTAATGTGAAATAGTGTTTAATAAAAATAAGATCGTGATAATTAGAAAGAAAATAATTCCCTAGTTCGATTAACTCATTCATTTAGCCATCAACGTTAACTGTTTTATAAATATAACAGAAGTAGAAATTTTAAATTAGAAATATATAGAAGGAGAGAGAATACTAGTAGAAACTTTGAAAATGGAAAATATTTTAACGACGCGTAAAAGGAATAATTCAATAAAAACTTATGAAAATTAATCAGGACACTTCGTTCACAAGTAGTGCTTTGCGTAACAAACTAAGGGTATATTTAAATCGCTTTCCTAGCTTTGAAACATTCGTAGTTAACGTTTTTGCATTTCAATATTTGCATAATAGTTAACCGAGTGCTACCAGTTACGCTCTCGTCAGAACAAACAGTGCACCAATTAAGCACAGGCGATGTCTAGAATTTCCAAAAGACGCCAACAATGCAGCGCAGTTAAACACAGCATTGGGGCTGGTGGAGTGTAGGCCGTTTTCAATCCTGCGCTTCGACGTTTAGGTCGAAAGCGGCGTGCACTTTCTATTGGTACTATCGTAAAGCTCGTTAGCGAAAAACAATGCTGATAGCGGGCGGTCCGTCTGGAACACTTGATATTGCGGATTATTCATCTACTATTATTTTAGACTACTTTTCAATGGTGAAGAAAATCTGAAAGGATATATTGTACGCTATTGTCTCAAAACCTTTAAGATATTTTTAATGGAAATTACTAATTATTACTATTTATTGATTTAATACTAATGATATCATTTTGCTGCTAATAAGATTAAAAGCAGGTTGGTCCCACATGCGTCACATGCATTCTTTTAAGTAAAATGCGATCCAAAGCATCGTAAGCAAAAATGTACACAGCACAAATTATTATACAAGTAAAATAAAGTAACAGCCTATACAGGTCCTATTGCTGGGAAACGTCCTCCCGAGGGACTTCACATTTCTTCGAAATATTATCTTTTAGGGTACCGTACCCAAAGGGTAAAACGGGACCCTATTACTAAGTTTTCGAAGTCTATCTGTCTGTCCGTCTGTCACCAGGCTGTATCTCATGAACCGTGATAGAGTTGTTCAGTTGAAAGTTTCACAGATGACGTATTTCTGTTGTGGCTATAACCGTGATGGTTCAGTGTCCGGGCACTCGCCTTCAATTCAACATACTCGAGCAACCTGAGTTCGATCCCCGGTGCCGGCACCAATGAAGTTTTTAACTTTAAGTGCTGACTTATCACGTGCTCCGCGGTGAAGGAAAACATCGTGAGGAAACCTGCATATTTTCGAAATAATAACAAAAAAAATATTTATTTCGAAGAAATGTGAAGTCCGCCAATCCGCAGTGGGGCCGCGTGGTGGGCTATGCCCTGATACCCTCTGTATAGAGGAGGCCTTTGCCAGTAGGCCTTTTGCATGTCCCACTGCTGGGCAAAGGCCTCCTCTGTACAGAGGGTATCAGGGCAGGATAGTCCACCGCGTTACCCACTGCGGATTGGCAGACTTCACATATCTTCGAAATAATTTTTTTTTGTGTTGTTATATCGAAAATATGCAGGTTTCCCCACGACATTTTCCTTCACCGCTGAGCACGTGATAATTCAGCACTTAAAATTGACAGTTGGTGCTGTCACCGGGGATCGAACTCAGGTTGCTGGAGTATATTAAATTTAAGGCGAGCGCCCGGACACTGAGCTATACACTTATTAGAAGAGCGACTCCCGCTTAAGTCTTAGTAAGTAATGTAAGGAATTATTACGATATTCTAATGAATTACATTAGAATATCGTAATAATTCATATCTATATCTTATGTAAGGTTAATTTATTAGAACATCGTAATAATTCATATCTATATCTTAAAACATAATTAATATTTTATCGATTAGTGATTTGTGATACAAATTACTATTTTATATTCGATGATATTGTTCCATCGATTCTGTTTTATATTCTGGCAACACTGTTTCGAAATGTCATATATTGTGATGTGATGATTTTGAGTTCATCATTATACCTGCAGAGTTCGAACTGAGAGGTTGTCTTATTTAATCCATTAGCATCCTCATAATCTACGTTTATTTTCTGGGATAAAGAACTATCTCCTTTAGTAAGATCTTCCATTAAAAAAATGTGAGACAGTGTTTTTTTTTAAAACTATCAACGCACACTAAATATCCGATAACTTGCGATTAACTTAGGGAGTTGTTGTGAATAGTATAACCAAGGATACCAAATTAAAGCAATAAATTCATGACTTGTTAATGGCATTCAAAATTTTTCTCAGCAGCATAAAACTAGCTCTAACTGTTCATCAGATAAGAACGTGTTTCGTGAAATTAAAAGTTTTACGACCAAAATTATACACCTATTATTTATATCGCCTGCCGACTCGTAAATACGTCCTCTATTGTCTTTCGTCTAATTAAATAAAAATTTTACGACTTTTGTAATAGCGATGTCGGGATTATGAGCCTCATAATCTGTCATATAACAGCGTGTTAAAAAAAAGTAT